TGTAGACCGCAAAAGAATTTTTTCAGCTTCTTGACCGAAATTACATTATGAGTTCTATAATGAGAGAAATTCTAGTATCGTATGCACGTTCTACAGTGTAATTCATACAGTGGTTCACTTTGTTTTGGATAATTGTTATTTTGAAGTTTATATGCATAAATCTTGTACTAATTATTGAAAAATAGACTCCAAATGTTTTTTCTAATATAGTGTTCTATCTGTATTTTCATACTTTGCGTGTAACAAAGTAAATATCAGGAAAATATTCCTTGTAATAAAATACCTTACTCAAAATGTAATACATAACTTACATAATAATTCGGACACTCGAAAAGTTATTTTTTTTTAGATGTTTTGTCAGATAAAGTTTTTGTTATAATTCTTTGTTTTAAATGAAATTAAATCAAAAGAATTATCGTTTTGGAAATTATTACTTGTTTAGTAAAATACGTTAACAGTTCTGAAAGCATGGAAGGAAGCTACAAGTTTACGACAAGTTCTGTTCGAAATTTAACTATTCATCATTTTAAAGAAAGTATTCGAAATATCCAAAAAATCTTTAAGATAATGAATTAAACTATTTTTGATGTTATAAAATGATGGAAATTGCGTGGTGCGTTTGAAAATGCACTAAAGTCTGGACCACATTACAAGTTAATGCGAAAGAGATCGAGACTTCTACGAGAAATCAAATATGACCCAAGTAATAACGTGCGAAACTTACAGCGGGTTAAGAAGAACAGTTCCCAATAAAAGTTAGCTCCGAGACTGTTAGAAAATCATTAGAGTATTCCGATGCCATTTGTGATCAGCAAAAAAGAAATTCTTCATCAACAAGAAAAGAAGGAAAATACCTGGCATTCGCAAAATCTATGGTAAGCCATTGACATCACAATGAAAAACTTCTTTTATGTCATCTTCATTTATTATCGCTTTTTCAAATTTCTTTACAAAATCCGTTAATTGGAAAATTTCACCTTTGTTTTGCGATATACGAAAACCTTTAAACTTAGCGGTTATCATCATCAAAGCTCATCATTAGCTATCCTTCGCTATACATATTTGGCTATGCATCGTGAGCTTGGCAACTAACAACCAGTTGTTCCGTTAAATTTTATCACGCATTGAGACAATTAAGCCTGAATTGTATTAGTTATTTATTATACTTATGTCTATTTCTTGCACATGCTTAATGCTTATCAGAGTTCTGAATAAATAAATTCCTACATATACTTAAACCTTCCTGAGGGCCGCCGCTAGATATCTTACCGCCTGATGCAGTCTCTGTGGGTTCTAAATTCTGCGACTCGGTGCGGCCATACGAGCCCTGCCGCTGGTTCTGAGTTTATGTTAATAACAAATCAGTTATTCTTAATCCAAATAGCCCTAAATGTAATCTTTGGGTCTATGCGTATCATCAACAAAATCTCTATTTTTAGCATATGGAAAGAAATTTTTGGTAAATTTTTCCTCATCAACACATTTAGCGCATTTAACTTAAATTTGTAATCATCGCCAAGCGTAATGTCAACATAAAAGGTTACCATACTCCTTTATTGTTCAATTACTAACATAAAAAATTGTTTAGGCATCGCTACACGAGTCATTACTCAAGTTGTCATATTTTGATAAACATGCGGAAAGTACAATAAATAATGATTCGCCAGGTTGGCGTCAGATCAACGCTTTATCTATGCGGTTTTATGCGGTTCTATTTATTTATTTCAGTTTGAGATGTATGCCAAGCAGATACGCAGAAACGAAGCCAAGTTACTCATCGTACAAATTTATGCTAAAATGATTGTTTCTTCAATAATAAGGTATTTTATTTAGTGTCGAAGTGAAATTAAGAATCGGGACTCTCCATATGTTTTATTATGCGAGAAGGGGGGGGAATCAAATGCGCATGTGTAAAGTCTACTAGGAAAAACATTATTGGTGGTTTTGAGGTCCGGATAATGGACGTCCGGATTTCGGACTTTGAAGTGTATATATTTCTTGTTTTCGAATTTGCTCTAGTTTGAGGTATAGGTCAAAGATTCTACAAATGACAAGCACTTAAGCATCGAACATTCTAACAGCAAAAGCTGTCAAATAATAATTTACGAGTAGCAACAGCTTAACAACAATAATCTATGAGAAGCAACTATTTCATAATTTAATTCCAACTAATTCTTAATTTTAACTTAAGGTATTGAAAGTCTCAGTACAAAAAATGTTTAAACAGCTATTTTTCAAGAATATTTTAAATGAAGAGGATTTATTTCTAAAATGTGAACTCATTTTATATTTCTGTCTTATTAATGTACACAGATGTCAGAAACAAAAAGTTATTTTTTTGAGTTTGCAAAATATTTCCTGCACATTGGATGACAATGAATTTTTTAAATTAATTAATTAAATTTGCATTAAATTCTAATATTAAATTGGAGAGGAAAGAATGAGTCTAGTGTTTATCTTATGTTTCTGAGTGATTAATTATATGTTAACCTATTCCCTAGCGCGATCAGTTTTGTATTTTTTGTACAAAATAACTAAATTTATTAGAACTTCATTAATTAAAAAGAGTATCTTTCATTAAAGCTGTGGCATGATTTTAAAAGTAATTGGTGTATTGTAACAATTTAAGGAAAAGAAACATAAGAATTTAAATCTGGAAATCACACAAAGTTCAATCTCAGATTGAAACTGATTTTATATTAAAGAAAAAAAAAAAAAAAAAAAAAAAGCGCAATGCACTTTTAGAGAATTAAGCGTTGATCATTTTCTTGAATGAGCAAAAATAATCTGTTTCTATATAAAATTAAAATAAAACTGGGAGGCGAGTTTGCCTACTTTTTATCGGTAATGGCTTCTCTGATGTGCATTAGATAAATCTCTACATATAATAAAAGAAAGAGTGTCTCTGTGTGTGTGTGTGTGTCTTTCGTTCGCGCCGCGCGTATGCTAATAGACCCACGGCTACGAAATTTGGTACATAGGTGCATCTAGACAAGAGCCAGTGCACCTAGAAGCGATTTTTTTCGAAATTCGAATTCAAATTTTTTTAATTTTATGTTTTGTGACTAAATCGCGTCATTTGAGACATAATGGGCTAGAGGAAGCGAGATTTTCTCTACAAGCTCCATTTTCACATCGTCATTAAACGTAGGCCTTAGCTATTTTACACGAACTTAAAATTTTCGTGTTTCAATAAATCGATAAATACGAATTTATTCAACAAGGGCTTAACATTTTTTCAACGGGATTTTTCTAAAAAAGTTTATTTTAAAATGTACAGTTTTTTTTCTTTGAGTTTGGATACGTTAAACTTTCCTTGCGACTGCTTTTACAAAAGATTTTAGAAAAATAATAATTTTTGTATTTTTAAAAACATTTTAAATGAAGCTCCGAGTACACTTCCACATTTTAAAACTGTGATTTTAACACAATTTTCCTGTCTTATTTGTTGATTAGATTTTTGATGAAATCGCAATCATTTTGAATAGTTTCATCTTTTGAAATATGGGCTTGCACAATTTTTCATCGATTTCTTATGTCACCGTTTTAAGAGATTGGCATATTTCCTTGTCATTTATATATATATATATATAAAATTTTTTTTTAAATAAGTTGTTCTGCAGAGTAAAATTCTGCGCGAAATTTTATGTTTCTTGAGTTGCTTTCATGTTATTTTTTGCTTATTTCACTGTTTGTAAGATACTGAAAAGTTTTGCATGATTTTTTTTCTTCAACGGAAAGTTGGTTAATTTTTTATTAGGATAGTTAATATTTGTATTAAGGGATATAGCTTATTTCATTGTAATTTTTTTCCTTTGAAAATATAAGATAAAATATCATTAATCTTTGCTTTTCAGAATTTTTTGTTTTTTGTATTCTTTTATGTTATTTATTGCTCATGTCACTGTTTTAAGATATTGAAAAGGTTTGAGTGAATTTTTTAGTAAACAAAAGATCTTAACCTCCATTTGAAAAGATCTTAACCTTTATACCATTTGAGTTCTAAGATTTTGCAAAGGAAGTTGGTTATTTATTTATTAGGATAATTAATATTTGTATTAGGGATATTGCTTATTTCATTTAATTTTGTTATATGTGATAACTTTTTTTTATGAAGTTTTTCTGCAGAGTAAAATTCTACCCAGTTTTTAAATTAACGTTTGGTGTTCCCTTCAGCCATTTTTCCGGTACATTTAAAAGCCAGACGAAGGTTGGCAGCGAAGCTGCTAGTATATAATATTTAGTCCTTATTTAAAAACTTTACCTAATATCATTTTCAAAATTTTTCGGCTAAAAAAATTATTATAAATTTCAATAATGGAAATAAAGCTTTACATTTCGTGTATTTATTAATTTTTTGGTTTAAAATTCTAATAGTTATGCTGTCTATTACTGTAAAAAGAAATTATTTAAAAACAACGTGATTTTTTATAATTTTTTAAATATTAATTAGAACATTCTTAAATATTATAAAAATACATCAAACTGTTAATTTTTTTATAACTATTTAGACAATTTAAAAAAAAATACATTTCTAGCGTCATACTTTTTAGGTGTATCGACTCTGGATAGTGAAAGGGAAAACAGTTCAATGTCTACAATTTGCCTCCTCTCCCTAAAAAAACTTATACTCTATTGTATTAATTTTATATAAAATTAGGTTTTAAAAGTTAAATAATTGTACACACTCTTACGTTTTATATAGGAGGTCGTTCTATTTATTTAATTTCAGCTGCAATTTGAAGAAAACGTTGTTCTTCTTGAGTAAGAGGAACCTTTATCAATCAGCCACAAAATCGTAGTTTTTATATAGCCACGTCAATCTAAGCTTTTCTTTTGGGGGTGGGGCATAATTTAATAAAGTGTACTTTTTTACTGATGTAAAAAACACATATTTTTATAAATTAAAAAAATATATAAAGGATTAATTTTATTTTTAATCTTTACATAAGAGAAATTTAAAAAATGAGTTATTTACGCAGAAAACAGCAAATACTTACTTGTGTTTTTTTATGTCGGTAATACCACCCTTCTGGTAACCTAGTCTTTCAGAAGGGTTCTCCTTGCAGAGCCGCCGCATCAAGGATACAGCATTCTTGCTGATGTAGTTCGGAAAGCCCAACGCATCGATACCTTTCAGAATGATTTTGTAGGTCTTCATTGGATCGAAAGCGCAGAACGGCGGTCTAGAGAAATTATTTTATCAATCATACTACAAAAAGAGACGAAGAGCTAAACTTACACAGTATGAAACTTGTAATATAATTGCGGTATCTCACCGCTTTCAGCAAAAATAAGAGTGGTAATGACCATAAACAGGGAATTGTATTGATATTCTTTCTTAAATATTAATTTAAAATCCCTTTTTTATGGATTAAAAAAGGTTAAGATTTTTTAAATTTAGTTTACGAATTTACTTGAATTCATGTAATTATAGTTAACCACACAATCAATTATTTGAATAGTGTAACTAAATGTTTGATTGTGAAGAGATTTTCATTCCAAGGTACATTGTGCTGATTTATAATTTTATATTTAAATTCTATAAAAAAGGAAATACGACTTGACACTCGAAAAGAAAGTTGAATTGTGGGAAAAAAACCCTTTTAATAATATTTTCATTAAATTTAAGTCTTACGGCTATAAACAGGTATGTGGTTTTATGCCAGCAGTCACTTATTTATTTATTTAATTTACTTTTATTTCTTTTTAAATCCATCTCCAAAACTTATATATTTTCTTAAGAATTCACACAAATGAATTTTTTCCACGAGTTCTTCCTCTGCCGAACTGCTGTTGGTTAAGCATTTTTTTAAACTTAGGAACAAACCCATCTGTCATTTAATCATCTCATCAAAAAAATCACACACACACACAAAAAAAAAAAAAAAAAAAAAAAAAAAAAAAAAATGCATATGGAGAGCGACCGATAATTTTCCCTTGAGTGTTCAAAACATTTTTTTAGTTTACTCATACATTAAATAAGTTTTACTTCTGTTAAATTAATTCATTTGGGCACATACGTAATTTATGAATATAAAGCATATCCGCTGTAGAACGAGGGACACGTAATTCTGCGCTCAGATACGAAATATATCGCGTTAAAGAAACATATTTTATAATTACAATAATGCAGCAAATGTTAATAAAAATGATCAATTTTAATACAGTGTTACAAATTTATATATATGTAAGTAATTTTTGTGAAATTGTAGGTGAAATTCTAGTATCTCTTGCATAATGTAACACACATACTTAAAAAAAAACGAAGATCTGCCGGAAAAATAAGGTTACAGGCGAACTCTAATAAACATGTATCTATCTCGCTAAATTAAAGAGACATCAGCAAGCTGGCCATGACTTTGGCGACTATTTTTCGTTGCGAAATTTCGAGAGAAATCGGCCAAAATCACCAAACTTCGCGACCAGTTGACAATATTTTGGTCCGACCCCTGTATAACTAACTGTCAATGAATAACTGGAATTGATCCCTATATGTAACTTTAACCTTATGTACCTTCCAGTAATTTACAGAAGTGGAAGGTACAAGAGATTCCTCGGCTAACGGGAAAAAAGTATACAAGAGCGGAGAGAGTATCACTTCTCAGGTTTTAGTTCAGCGCTGATTTCAGAGTATTGTCAGATCTACGTGTGAACTTTACCTTTTAAACGCGCTTTGCATTGCACTGTATTTAAAGCTCTTAGTAATTTGAAGTGTAACAACTGACTGTGCTCTGTGATACTGAGAATAGCTGTAGGATTGCTTTTGGGGAAAGTTCCAGAATTTTAAAATGTATCTTGTGTGAAAATAAATTTTATTAAGCTGCCATCTATTCTGTGTACATTCAGTTCATTACGAAACCGTGCGAACACAATAATTCTTAGTGTTAGAAGGGGCAATGAATACCGGTGATAAGAGCGTTGGAGGAGCAATTGAGATAACTGTTAACAGTCTTTGCTGCATTTAAAGGAGAGGTGAAGGCGGGCAAAGAATCTGTTAAAAAAGAGATGAAGTGGGTCAAGAATCTGTTAAAGGGGGTATGAGAGCTGTTCAAGAAAAAATTTAAACAGGTCAAGAGGAAATGAAAAGCGAAATTACTGCTATAACAGAGAACAAATTTGACGCTACAGAAAGAAGAATAGATGCGGTTGGAAATAAAGTTGGAGAAACTGAAGAAAGAGTTTCTGTTGTGAAATAACGAATCGATGATAGAGTTTCTGCTGCACTACAGTGGCTAAGAAGGTATAAAACTTGGAGAAATCCATAGCTGGATGCAATTCTGACGCCTTTAAATCTCTACCTATGTCTTCTCGACTCTCCTTAAAGCTGTCAACTTATGATGAAAGACCTCCTGGCAAGTGTACAAGACTCATTCTCTATAGTGGCGGATGCAAATGAATGGGACTGCGAAATTAAGGCCTGTCATCTCGCCACTTCTCTGAGAGCAGACGCAGTGGATATCTTTCAAACTTTGATCGAAAACAAGAGGCTAGACTTCGAAGCTCTATTCAGTGCCTTGCAACCGCGCTTTAGCGAGAAGAGTTTAAAAGACTATAACATTCTTCAGTATTTAACTGAAGCAGGAACTCGCCACGAATATTGAAAGGCTGTCTCATCTCGTCTTTTCGGATCGCCCAACAGAAACAAGGGAAATCCTGTCCCTTAAGTACTTTATCGATGGCTTCCAAGACCTTGAGATACAGAATGTTCTGAGAATGGTAGATGTCAAGGATTTAAAAAGCGTTTCATTGTACGTCATGAAATTCGAGGCAACGCAGCAAGCAATTCGCAGAAACTGCCCCACCAAATCAAAGCTGCTTGGTTATTCTGTTTCAAAGTGTTATTATATTTCTTTCTTTCTTTATTAAAATAATCATCCTAAGTGATATATTTTTTATGTTTAGATAAATTGTACTACAACTGAAGTGAGTTCATGACGAAAGTACATTTTCTCGCCGAAGCATTGGAAAACTGTTGGCTTGTATTGCCATATAATGAAATTCCTATAATTTATAATATAATTTGCTCCTTATTAATTATCAAAATGTTAACTTACGTTCCAGTGAGCAACTCGTACATCATGATGCCAAGAGCCCAGAAATCAACTGCTTTATCATGGCCCCTATTGAGGATTATCTCTGGAGCTACATACTCAGGTGTTCCACAGAATGTCCATGTTTTACGACCGCTAGGTAAAATTTTTGCGAAACCAAAGTCTACCTAAAGGGAAGAAAAAGAAAATTTATTGCTCAGTGTACAAATTAATGGAATAGAATAAGAGAATTTATCGTCGAGTGTACAAAGATTAACGGTCACATTTTTTACTTATAAACGTGGATATGTCTGAAGTTCAAAGAGTGTGAACAAGTGAACGCACTCGTATTTAGCAGAAAAATATTTTCAAACAAGAAACGAAGGCAGAACTTCAGTAAGTCGAAGCGAATATCGAAATATAGAGGGTGTAACAGAAATATCGCCACGACTTTAAAAGGTAATAGAACACGGTAAAAATAACAATTTTCATTATACGATGCGTGATGGAATGTGAAAGCTGAATACGGAAACTAAGCCCAAAAAATATGGAAAACAAAAAGTCGAATTAACCACGGATATTAGCAAAAAATAATTCAAATGCACGACTACGTACAATGACTATGGGGTGACTGGCATGCACTTTAAATATACCCAGCATCCTCTTGTGGCAAAACGCTTTGTTTATCACCCCACATTTTATTACGCAAATCGTTATTTTGTCATGTTCTGTCAGTCCTAAAGTTGCCCTGTAATATTCGAAATTAATGCGTAAATTTTGCTGATGATTCAAATTTTTCCCTCCTGTACACGTCAGTTTCGATTTATGGAAATCTGATGGTGCATTGCTTTAGTTATAAATTGTAGCCTAGCGTTGTAAACAAGTGCCTGCAAAGGTCTTCGAGAAAAACGCCTTTAAACTTTTACCAAGTTATACGCTCGCTCCTTTAATCGAGTTAATAATTATGTACACAATCATCATAACACTGTAAAAGAAGTTATGTAAAATTACTAAGAAAATTTCATGGAAACTAGGATGCCATGGATTATTTAAGTATAACAGCATGTATTTTCTTAGTCACAATACACAGATTATATCTCTATACAATATAGAGATTATACCTCTGTATTCATATCACTGTATATAAGACTTTTGTGTTTTATTTATGATACTATTAAGAATAGTTATTGTCATATGGAACACATTAACAACATGCAAAACAACGAATTATATAATACATGGAAATGCTGCGAACACTTTGCATGTAATATAAATATTTGCAATGACTAACCCATCGATAGCATGCGAAATACCAAAGAATAAATTTGTAAGGATTATATATACTTTGCTTAAAATGACATTTCAAATAGTTTTGTGGGTAGAACTTACTTGTTCTGTATACTTACAGTGAAAGATCAACGTATATGGAAATATCAAAGGATGCATTTGCTAAATTTATTCATGGTTTGCTCGTAACATTACTGCGAAATAGTTATATATAGTGCATACAGATGTCTGCTAAATATAAAAAATATTTTTGTGAAGGCTACCAGATATATTAATTGTAATATTACTGCGAATAATTATGTATATAAAACATGAAGTAAATGATTATAGATTCTTAGAACGATTTCGAAAAAGAATTTCAAAAAAGAAATATTTTGCAATAAATATTTCTATCATCAGCTTATTATTTGAAATGAGAAATATTGTCTGCTGTTTTCAAAGTTGTTCTTCTTTCAAAATACAGCATATAAACAATCTGTGGATAGAAGGATAAGTTTTTGCGCTTTCCAAAGAGAAATATTTCTATTCCATAACTCAAAAACATTGTAAAATGCATGGCATTAAAATTTCGAAGTGCAAAATAAGCAACAGTTTTAATCGCAAAAAGGAAAAACCAACAATTATTACTTCTACACAGAAAGAAGACTTCAAACGAATACACGAAAAAAGTTAAATGTTGTTCCTAATATTTTTAAATTCATCTATAGCAACAATAAATCAAATAATAAAACAAGATTTAAAACATACAATGGCTCCCCAATGTGTTCGTACGCTTACGAGTTTCAGTGAAACATTTGTTACGTAGAGGAAAAAAAAAATTGAACTTTTAAAAACTGACTTCTTCTTTTAGTGCCGTGACAAAAAAAAAAAAAAAAAAAAAAAAAAAAAAAAAAAAAAAAAAAACACTAAAACTAAACTCAGTACTTGCATAAGCAAAAACTTTTAAATCCAAGAGAAATCAAAGAAAGATATCCTCCCTGGTGTTTTGTTAAAATAAAGATTATTTATCAAAACAAAAATGCGAAAATGCATTTCCATAACACAATCATAAACATGCTATCTCTCACTAAAATATAACTAATTCTGATCTCCAACCTGTAAACACACAAATTTCAACACAAATCTAGAGATAGCCCAAAAAAACTTAACATTTAAAATACTACTCAGATCTTTTCAAAACACCAGGGAAAGATACATCTCACACTTAAGAAGACTATTCATCAAAATCAAAATAAATTCAGTAAACCTATCGTATAGTCACCAACACTAAAACTGATTTTTTTCCTACTACGGCAATATAATTTAACCAGGTTCTAAAAATAACCATGTTCCGTAAGGATCACATGGGTGACCTACGGTAGACCACAATTAATACACCAAAAGAAACATACAATAATAAAAATAATAACACATATATTGAATATTTCCACACATTAATATTTAAGATAGCTGGCCAGACTACCCCTACAAAAATCTTTTAAAAGTTACTCATAGTTTTTTTTTTCATATCAATCTCATATTAAACATTATTCCATTAATACAAAAATCATAGTGAAACACGTCACAGTTCTTAATCATTTTAAACAGGAACTCAAGAAGTTTAAACTCATTTATAAAAGCTAATTTAGAATAAATCATATTTCTTCAACTGTGACACATCAGCATGTTCATCCTCGGTCAAATGAAATTACATGAACATAGCACTTAAACATTAAAACAAAGATTCACTTCCTCCAATTAGTTCAATTAACTTCTGACAATTAAACATTAATAAAGAATTACCTTCTCAGCTAGAAATTTAGTAACAATAAATATTCAATTTTCATCTACTTAAACATGACAGTTCTTGCTTTAGTATTAAACATTTCCAAATTTATAAAGATTAATCAACAAAAGAAAAGCACCAATGAAAATATAAAGTCACTCACGAATTCTGCGTACACACATCTGAGGGACTCAGGGAGCTGCCCGGATCCAGTCACAAGTCGTCGAAAACATAACAGCCAAGCATAATTGTCCAGAAAACAGTTACTGATATGTGTTCATAGCATAACGGGAATCCTCTAATAGCACCCGCACTACTCGGTCCAGCAGCATTTAACTCCAAAAAATTAATAATAATCAGCTTTCCCTTTTATTTCTAAAACCCTCTGAAGATAACGGAAGGAGATTGACAGCAGGAGATGGCGACTTCCCTCCTTTTCCATATTTTCCAAAGTAAACTGGAACTTCAGCGCGAGCAATTCAGACAGCTTCCACACATGGAAAACGTCAGATACATGAATAGAACGCGGGACCTAGCTCCAGATCTTTTGCCAATTACGCCGAAATTTAACCGCAAGGAGCCCGTGACGAGATGGGACCGGTCGCCGCAACCAGTGCCTCGGAGATCATCATTTTTAACTGTAACCGCGGTCGCCCCTAAGGGGTCGCCGGGTAACGCTCCTCTCAAAGTCGATCAAACTGGACCAAATCTCACAAAAACCTCGCAAAAGATCCCTTTTTCTTCTCCCTTGCAACGGCTTAAGAAAACTCGGTTTTTCTCACCAAGAAACGCCTCAAAACCACTATTGGCTCAAACAACACTAAAAATAAAAATTTAACCAATCTTAAAGAAACTTGGACGCCCTCTAGCCAACTAGAAAAAAAGTAATAAATAGCTTCTAAAATTCTCAGAAATTCAAAACTTTCTACAAGATGACAGACCCTTTCTATCCCACACGACAGAAGAATGTTTCCAACCTATAACTCTGTCAAAAATCGCCGCCCCTTAGAACTATTCGCCTCTGAATGAGCAAAACACGTGTTTTAAAACCCCCGCGAAAACAGGAAAATGCAGCTGGGCAGTCTGACCCCTAACCTCCAAAAGAAGCCGACTCGTGAGAAACGTAAATACACCCGCGCCGTTTTAAATGTAACACATATTCTGCCAAACTTAAAAGAGCTTTGCCGTAAAGTTTAACAATACTAAATATTATACATTAATTTTAAATAAGCACAATACGAATTCATTAAATACAGTAAAATAATACTCAATAATTATACACAACAAAAAATACATAAGAATTTTTCATAACACATTAATTATTTTATCAACCTATTAAAATATTTTTTTCTTTGGAAAATCAATAAAAACGTAGCTTTCCAAAAGTCTTCCTATGCTTTCAAACAGGGTTTCTTAAACTGTGGATCGCGACCCTTTAGGGGTCGAGGGATCTTCAGCAGGGGGTCGCCAAACATTTTAAGAGTTCTGATATTCTTATTAAAATAATTTTATAATTACCAAATATTTTTACACAATGTATCTGAAAATAGATATAATCAACAAGTGGTGGTGAACAAGAAATCTTTGAGAGATAAGACAATAGAATACAGACAAAGAAAAAAACGAAAACGTTTCGACTCATTCTTTGTATAATATAAACGTTCCTTTTCCTTTCTTTGCACGTGTCGCTGTCATTTTGTCTGTTACTTATTTAAAATTTTCACGTTGTTCTATGTCTTAAAATTAGAAATTAAAGTTAGTGACCTAAAACTGCAATAGTATATTAGAGTACGAGTGAAAAAATTGACAGTTTCACTCCCGCGTGTGTCGGATTTGCACAATACTTATAGAGTCCCACAAAATTTTTGTAAATATTATGGGGTCCTGGGGGTTGCGAAAAAATCTCAGTGATAAAAAGCGGCCGCGACTGAAAACGTTTACCCTGCTTTAAAGAAATCTGTACTTATTAGTAAATAATAATTGTAGTACTTCTGTCAGTTAGTATTTTGTAATATATCTCGCAGTATTTGTGATAGCTTTCAAACATCTGGGCTTAGAAGTTCACCAGTTTATTTTATTATTTTTTTTTGTAATACCTACATCAATGTTCCTCCATTCTTCCATCATTACAGTTTT